GGAGGTCCCATTTGACCCAGCTATTCCCCCACTGGGAATCTTCCCCAAAGAATTAAAAGAATCATACCACAGCGATATATGTGCACCTATGTTTATAGCGGCACAGTTTGTAATAGGTAAAGGTTGGAAACAGCCCAAGTCCCCATCGACTGGAAATTGGATAAAGAAGATATGGTTTTTCTATAAAATGGAGTACTACTCAGTGATAAAGAATGAGAAAATAGAGACAATTATAGCTAAATGGATGCATATTGAGGCCATCCTCTTAAGTGAAATAAACAGGACCCACATGTGTAAATACCGAATAATTTCTCTAGTGTGAGAAATTGAAAATGTAAATAAGGATGAAAATGGTTAAAATGAATAATTGATAATTTGAAATAAGAAAAGGTCCAAGGGTTAGGGGATGGTGGGAGGGGAAGGGGAAAGGGAAGAAGAGAAAGGAAAAATTATGAGAAAGAAAAAAAAATGGAATCAAACTCTGTGTAAATAGGGAAGGGTGGAGGGGGTAAAGGGTGCACAGGTAATGGGAGAAAAAATAAAAACTAAGATGCATCATGTTCTGGTACAAACACTCAATGATAAATGTACATGTATGTTATATCTAAAATGTACCAATAAATATATATATGTAAATAAATAAATAAACTGAGTCTCTCCCAGCTATCAGGGAAGTGATGAAGAGTGGCAAAGGAAACAGGTTGTATTGGGAAGATACATGAGAATACACAGTAGCAGGAGAAATTTAATAAGTGCTGGAACTGTTTGGATTTATGAGGTACTCTCAAATATGCACCTCTATTATAATGTGTATCTGATGTGTATTTCCAGATAACTTGAATAGTAATGCTATGATGTAATATTTACTAATTTCCATGATAGAAGTATGGTTCTAAGCCTAATCCTCTCTGGTCCTGCCATATCCTTGGGGTTGGGAAGATTCAGAAGTACAGTATCCCTAGATATATCAAAGGATTTCCTTTGTTTAATCAATATCATCTATTACACTTTGGGTATGAAAGTTCAAGTCAGTG